CAATGTTTCCATTATTGTGGGGAATACAAAGAAGTACATAGACATATGGCGTACTGATCCAGAGATCAGGGCAGTCTTAGTTTGAGGGGAAGAGGATAGCCCGCTTTTGTTCCAATTTATGTAGCTATCCACTGCAGCTGCTGAAAAATGATGGATAACGTTAATAATCGTGCTATCTCCAGGAAATAACGTTGAGAGTGAGCTAACAACCCTTGTCGCTTTTCAAGTACCAGTTATAAGCGAGTCAGCAGGTACGCATAACTATTATCATAGTATTGCTATTTGCTGTTTGGAAGCCAAATGCTGCTCTTTTTAGATGCGAAATAAATGGTCATCGATGTTAGGCGGTGAGATGTTTGAGCAAGATGAGGACGATCAGGACACTATAAAATGAGCCCTAATCGAAACAAATCCTATTCTACTTGGCAAGTATCTTCCTCTTATAACAAATATTTCAATTGGACTGATTTGACATATTATCGTTCTTTTCTCCAATAGGAGGTCCCTCTTTCGGTGCGTCAATCAGAATTGTAAATAAAATAAATTATGTAATATGGTCTCTCTAAGGGTAGGTTTTGTAAGAGTTAATCGTTTGCTTTTGCACGACGTCCACTCAGTGGACTCTTAAAGGAAAAAGTTTTTGGCGTTGATATTTTGTGATCATCGGTATCGTTTCCTCCTCCGCTCCTCTCCCTCACCACTTCCCTCCCCTCCCCTTCACTCTTTTAAATATCAGCTTAATTGAAACATTCTGAGACAAGAAAGTAAAAGTGTTTTTTTCGCAGAAAATTAGTTTCTTCTTTCTATACTTTTCTCAAACATATTGCAGATGTCACCGTTGTCGTTTCATTATTGCCTACAGTTTTTGAATTTTTGGCATTCAAAAATGATACACGCCTATCTGTCTGCTCCGTATTGTTCAACATCTTCCTGGTACAACTGAACTGATTTTAAAATTTTTGTTTGAAATGCTTTTTTTAACCAAAAACTGATTATGACTCAGCTACGTAATTTAGTCTCTAATTGTCTTTCTCTACATATGTGAAATGACACCAACTGGGTGGTAAAAATGAGCGTTGGAATTGGTCTTCTTACTAAATGCTGGAAAATTCCTAAGGTTGTTAAGTGGAGGTACGCTGTTTTTCATGCTCAGTTGAAATGTCATAAGCCACTTGAGCTTGTTTCAGGTTATATACTCAAATAGATATATACCTTTTCTTCCTTCACTGAAGTTCAGCGACAAGGGTTTTTATGTTGAAAGTGCCACTAAAGAGTATGACTAGGTACGTTGTTTCAAGCTATAATGTCTTTTTCTAAAATTACCTATTTTTGTTCACCTAGCATTCAAATCCCTATCATGGATTCTTTTCCCACCTCTTGGTTGTTACGCTGTTTAATCTCTCCTATATGTCGAGCAACGTAGATGGTATTCTTGGATACTCAACATGCTATGGGTTTTTGCTCATGTTCGGTTTCATTACCATGACTCCTCAGGTTGATGCCTTGCGTAAATTGATAGAGTCATCATTTGTGTATTATTGGTAGCGTGTGTATTACTTTATGAATGTTACTAATCTGAGATCTTTGAAACGGCACAATATTTACTTTAAGCTCAAATACTTTCAGGTTAATGGTTAATAGTGGCATTTATTAATTTTTCTTTGTAGAGTTGCACCAAATTCTTAGATGTTGTTTTCTTAAAAGACTTTGATCGAAAATTTCCCATAGTTTTTTTCATGATGCTGTTCAGCATCTTTTCTTCTACCTTCCTTTGGACATTTGAGTGGTGAAACAGTTTTTGTTCTCGATTAATATCAAAAGAATGGATACTCTACTGAAAAAACTGTTTAAAGTAAAGAACATAGTTTTTTCTGTTATGTACATTCGTTTTCGGGCTCTTCTGATATGTCATAATTGTTAGTTTGATTGTATACAGTTATTTTCAAATGTTCACAAATTACAAGTTGAAGTTTGCATGTCTCCCGTGGGGGATGCTCACTTACAAGTTTATCAGTACGTTTATCGACGATATGTTCGTTTTTGTCATTCGGATGCCAATGTTGTACCGTATAGGACGTTTCCGTGATGACATAATGTTCCTTGTGAGCTATATATTCTTAACCTGCATATCTCCAATCGTTAATGCTGTAAATTAGAGGTTAGGTTGAGGAGCGG